TCTACAAGAACAGATTTCATTTGATGTTGCCTTTATAGAGTGTTGACAGAGATCTTAGTGTTTGAGAATGTGTACACCAAATGTGAAAGAGTTATCAGACTGTAAAGGCATGAGCAGCACCAATGGATGAGTGGATGAGGGACATGCTCATCATGCCAATATCATAGGACAAGCTAGAGGTCACCAGATACCTGGTGCTTTAATTTCTATGGTGAATTCAGCCATTTACAAAGAAATTGTGACCAAGCCACTAAAAATCTCAGATCTCAAAAAGTGCATTAACTGTAAGAAATATGGTACTTTCTATTAGAGAAGCAAACAAGCCTTTCTGGAGGCAATCCTAGGCTTCCCAGGATTTGCAGACACTGTGACAAGATATGTCATTGGAGTAATGAGTGCAATGTCCAGGGGTAACATACAAGGTAATCTCTTGCCATCTGGAAACAGAAATGGAAGGCCTGGCAGCTCTAGACTCTGAAGCAAAAAAATATGAGCCAGTTGCCCCTAGAAAGCCAGGAGATAACAAGCAGGCAGAAAAACTGCAACTAAGTATTGCTCACAAAATAAACGCTGACATTTATTGTATCTCCTTTTAGACTAAAAAAGCAACAACAATTCTCACATTTTTAATTGGTATGAATTATTGTATATTGATAGAAATTTAAGGTTATATTTGCTACAACATACTGTATTAATGTTTCAATTCTTGTTTAAGGTATATGTACATATAAATTGAATGCAGCTCATTTAAAAATGTAAAGTCCTAACCTTATGAAAACTGCTATTGTAAACTGTTTAGGGTAATTAAGAAATGCAAGTTAGTAGTTATTCACCTGTAATTAATCTTAGTAGTCATGTTAGGTACTAGCCTAGTTAATTTATATGTTTTCAAGCTTAAGCAGGAAGGAAGCCCACCAACATTGCAGAAAGCAGAGGACATCTGACAGAAACTTCGCAGAGGAGAAAACCCCAGAGAGACTTTTACTAACTTCTTACATATATTAACATCCACTGTAAACAGGGCAATATCAGATCCAAATATGAAACAGTTATTAATTGAAACTTTAGCTTTCATAATGCACATACAGAGTGTAAAAAAGATCTTAGACCTTTAAAAGCTAGATCAACACTCAGTGGATGAATGGATTAGAACTATTGTTGATATTGACCACAATAACTATATAATTGGACAAGCAATGTCCAATAATCCTAGATATCAAAATGTCCATTGTTTTTTTCTGTGGGAGATGAGGTCATTTAAAGGGGGATTGTAAGCAAGGCATTCCAAGAGACTTCTCTAGAAAACTTCACCCTTCTGAGTTTGTAGAAGCTGTGGTAAAGGTAGGCATTGGACTAATGAATGCAGATCAGCAAGAGAGATGTAAGGAAATTCCTTACTGATGGGAAAATCCCTACAAGATAATCCTGTAAACGGGAAACTCCATAAGGGGGTTAGCTTATACCTGGCAACAAACAACATTTGTTATTTCCTGTCAGCAATGAAATAGCTAATTTATACTCAGTATTGAAGAACTAAGGCCTGCTACTGAAGGCAACACTGCTCTGGACTTAGTCACAATTAGCCCATCAATCAAAGGCAAAATAGCTCCACTAGATAGAATAAGAAACTCTGGAGATGCGGGGCAGTGGTGGCGCATGCCTTTAATCCCAGCACTTGGGAGGCAGAGACAGGTGGATTTCTGAGTTCGAGGCCAGCCTGTTCTACAGAGTGAGTTCCAGGACAGCCGGGGCTATACAGAGAAACCCTGTCTCGAAAAACCAAAAAAAAAAAAAAAAAAAGAGAGAGAGAGAGGGAGAAAAAGAAACTCTGGAGATATTGGGAAACTAACAGCCCTACTTTAAAACGGCTGACTGACAAGCCTGTGTATGTAGAGCAATGGCTCTTGAATAAAGAAAATTAGAAGCACTTGAGCAGCTGGTACAAGAGCAGATGGAAGCTCGGCATACAACGGTTTACTAGTCCTTGGAATTCTCCTGTGTTTGCAATTAAAATGAAATCTGGAAAGGATAGTCTATAATAATAATTGACTTAAAATACTGCTTCTTTATTATTCCCCTACAAGAGCAAGATAGAAAAAATTTGCTTTTGCAGTACTTACTTATAACAATGTTAAACCTATGAAAAGATACCAATGGAAAGTTCTTCCTCAAGGAATGTTAAATAGTCCAACACTATGTTAATATTTTGTATAACAGCTGCTAGAAATAACTCATAAACATTTTCTGAGATCCATAATTTGCCATTATATGGATGAAACCTTGTTGGCTGATTCTAATGCAAATACATTAGAATGTTTAATGAACCAAAAAGGATTTTACCTAGTTGGAGTTTACAGGCTACTCCTGAAAAAAATGCAGAGGAGATTCTATCATCTATTAGGATTTTAATTAAGTCAAAAAAAGATTCAACCTCAAAAGATACAGATCTAGCCAGGCAGTGATGGCGCACCCCTTTAATCCCAGCGCTTGGGAGGCAGAGGCAGGCAGATTTCTGAGTTCAAGGCCAACCTGATCTACAGAGTGAGTTCCAGGACAGCCAGGGCTATACAGAGAAACCCTGTCTTGAAAAACCAAAAAGAAAA